AACATTGTTCTCACCTAGGACTGGTAACTAAATGTGAGCTCCTCCCTTGGGATGTTACATTGAGGTTTTTGCAGTGCTATATGAAAGGTTTAGGACATGAAATTGAGAAGTATGCCTTATTTACAGAAGATGAATGAATTTAGTGATATATATCATTAGATCAGTGATTGTTATATTGTTACTTGGAGCAAAATATACAAAACCGCAGTGATGTATTTGTCCCCATCTTTTCTGCAGTTTTTGTCAATGAAACTTGCCACTGTCAATCCAGAGCTAAACATTGATTTGGAGAGAGTTTTATCCAAAGATGTAAGTTTCCAATGTAAATTGAGAAATTATAACAGTTATGATTTGATATACGGGAAGGAATATGAATCCGTACTCTCCCTCCTGTATAGATTCTTCATTCAAGAGGTGGAAGTGCTGGAATTCTCGGATTTGGTCCTGGGTTAAACTCCTCTCACCCTTTCCCCCCGGGTATCTTTCCGGGAACAATTTCAGGTGTCCCAAGTACAAATCCACAATTCCCTCCCTTGCCTCAGGTATAAAAGAATTTCGAAATCATTCTCTCTCACCCACCTTGCTCATCAAAATATTTGATTCAACACTTTTCTGTTGCTTACAGACTGTACTAGACAATGAGCTCCAAAGTCTTTTGCAAATGGGATTTGATTCCAATTCAGCTATGGACAGTTTGGGACCAAATGGTAATCATTGAATGATTGGAGTTAAATTTTCCAACCCCTCGGTTTCCATTTTCTAACCATGAGCCTCTTATCATTTTCAGCAGGTCGCTTAAAATCAGAGCTCTGATATGTGGAAGAAGTTTAAATAAGAAGGCTTTGTTCCTCCTAACCAAGCATTCAAATGCTGCAAGTTGACTGCAGATTAAACTCATCTAGAAAAGAAAATTGGAAAAGAAGAAGACAAAAACAGGATTCTTCAGCTGTATAGGTTCATTTCGTTCCTAACTGTTTGTTTTCCGAATTTTTAGCCAAGGAAGATGACTTGTTAGAATCACAAATCATTGTATATTAAGACTACAAAGCAAGAGTTGATTGATGGAATTTTGTTTTTTTTTTTTTCTTAATAATTGGTATTGTAGGGGTTGTGATGCTTTGTGAAAGCTTGGAAAATTGTGTTTAAGAAAATTATCTTGTAGATTGGATAAATTTTCTTGTAAAGAAAATTTCATTTTCATTTGGTTTTTTCTCACCAAGGGTCTGTCTAGTTGCCATTTTCTTACTCTTCTTTTTGGTTCGAGGCCTTGTTAGAGCGAAAGCAGGAAGCAAACATAGTAACCTTATTTGGTTTAAATTAAAGCATTATCTAAATACCTAAACTCAAATAGTTTTCGAACACAAGATTGCAAAATTAAAAGTATTAAAAGAAAAACGTCAAAGTGTGTATTAGTGTCATTGATTATAGGTGTGGAAAAAAGGCTACCGTGATAACATCGAGAATGTAATGAAATATTCTAATATTTGATTGTATTTTACACTGATGAATTAATCAATTAATTAAGTATTAATTGATGTATGATAAGATTATCAAATTTTATAAAAGTATTTTACAATAAAACGATATAAAAGTAATCTTGAGAATGTGAAGAAAAAAAAGAAAGAAAGAAAGATTGATGAATTTATTTCTTTTTCTTTTCCGAACAAAGAGTTCCTATTTAAAGAGGATAATATTTCTCTATGGACATAATTATTCAGTTATTGTTAAGTGTCAAGCACTATTATTAAATAAATATTAATTATATATTATTAATTTAATTTATTTACAAGATTAATCAAGATTTGAAAAATCCAACCCTGATCCATTTGTATTTTAACCCATTTTAATGCAACTATTAAAGATTTTATTTTTCTCCATTTAAAGAATCCTTTTCCTTCTATTTCTTTAGATGTGAGTTTCTGTCTTATTATTATTGAAAATGTCTAATAAATGTTCAATATCTATAAAAAAAAACCCAAATTATGTTTTTGAAGGGAATGAATACCCTCGCCAAAAACCTAAGTTGTCTTGTGAAAGGATAAATGAGATTACAATTAATATGTGTTTCATCCATTAAAGTTTAATAATCAATTAAAGGTATAAATTTTAATAAGTAAAACAAAAATTTAAAACAAAATAAAATATAAAACTAGTAGATTGAGCATCTAAAACTTAGTAGATAGTACATAGACACTATTCCTATAACAATGCATTTGGTTAAAGGAATACAAGAACAGTATATTCCCTGCTATGGCTTTTCCACCAGCACTCCTTTTTTCCTTTTTTTTTTTTTATATTTATATTTTGTCACTTCCACATGTTTGGGGTACAATTTTTCTTTTTTATTGCTTTCTTCCGCCCATTGCTTCTGTGTCTGTTTTCCCTTCTTTTCCTTTATCTTTTTCTCTCTCTCTCTCTCTCTCTTTTCTCTGTTTTACTTCATAGTTTATTTAAATTTGCATAAGCTATCATAGAATAATGTAATCATTTTGTCTTAATTGCTTCAGGGTACAAGACAACCCATTTCGTCGCTGGTTCTAACTCTATATCCCTAGTGGAGCAAACAAAAGAAAGAGAAAAAGAAGAAAGAATTGTACGGCTATGCTTTGTAGAAAGGAACAACTCGCAAGGAAAAAAATGGAAAAGAACCAGGACCGGTGAAAGAAACTACTCGAGCAGTTGGGTCAATTCTTGGGCCCCGAAGCCCGTTATTAAATCAAATCAGCCCATAATGATAAATGAGAAAGAAACATTAGCCTTTGGTACATTGTCTCTTCTTTTCTTGATATTTAATTTAATTTGTCAATTAGTGGCTTCTTCTGATAATTTTTTACATATGGAAATTAGTGTTAAAATTTATTAATTAATATCTTAACCACGTCCGGAGAAGTGATAAGGTTGACCAGTTTGTGTTTGCAAAGTCAGAGCAAAGAGAGATTGCTAAAAGAAAAAGAAAATATTTGGACCGACAATCATTTCTTCTTGGACAAAGGACCAGACAATTATTATTACTATGAACAAAACTGGTAGCCTTTCATATAATTGCCCCTTTTATTATTATTATTATTATTACTATTCGGTGCTACATTTTCTTTCATGGACCAGCCATTATTTTTTGAAGCGTGCTAAGTCTGCTTGACGTCTCGGCTTTTCTTTGGGCTACGAAAATTGTACATGACTATGAATGGGACGCTAAGAAACACACTATGCCTTTGGGATTTGGATTTACATGATTCATTACTAAAAAGAATATGTTAAAATTTCAGTGTTTTACAACCGCTTGATAAATTAAAAAAAATTTTTTTTTGAAAGATTCATCTCTATTAGAGAGGTATCATGAGTCGAACTGAATTCAAGTTGAGCTTATTAATATTTTTTAAAAAAAATAATGTAAAATTCGATTTGTTTCGTCTAGTTAATTATTTTTTATATATAAATAGTTTTAAATATTCATTTAAAAATAAATAAAATAAAAACTTATTTATTAGTAAAATAAGTTAAGTAAATCAAGCCGCATCAGGCTTAGACCTAAATCAGGCCGAGCCCGCAAGAATGGGCAGGTAGCTTAATCCGTAGACAACTCTAACCTCAACATATGGCGTGGAAATTGCCCATGTTCCTGAGGCTATGGCGTTTACAGATTCAAATCTAGGAATCCGTCTTTCTTTTCTGGCTTCTCTCATTTGATAAATTGATAATAATAATAATAATGATGATGATAATGATCTTTGAAGAATTAGGGGTCATTTTGTTACATTTCTCTTTCATGTACTGTTTGTTTTGTTTTAATTGATAGTTGATACTTAATACCTTTTCAGAATGGAAATTTAAAAATTTTGTGGCAGAAAAAGACAAAGAAATTCAAACTCGATGGAAAATAAAGGAAATTAAATATTGACATGGAAGATATTTATTCATGGGGCCAAAGCCAAACGAACGAACTCTGCCGTTAAAAAGGAAAAACCCCACACAAAACAAAGGCCACATGCCCATCAATTTCACAGAGGGAAGCTGCAACGAACGACTCCCAGTCATAGATACCACTAGTTCCAGCTGCTGCCTGCTGGACCATGGATTTCAGATTTCATTGAATTTTCAAAGTCCTACTCGAGAATGTAAAAACTGTGAAAACATTCTCCCAAGTAAACGATGATTGACTGCACACGAACAACTCCCATCATCTATCATCGGAAACATGTTTCCAGTTTTCCTCTCCTTCAATTACATCGAATTCCAAAAGAAATTTTCTCTCGTCTTTTCTTCGCATATGCTGGGTGGGAAAACTAGATTTGAGGGGGTCCATATCCTAGTGTGGTCCAGCTGCTTCCCAACCATAAATTCGGTGAGCCAGCTCTTGGATGGGCTACGGACCCACGCCTCAAAGAATCAGATAAGGGAGACCCCCATGTGCTTCCCAGCTGCCTAAGCAAGTACTTTAGTAATTGTTTATTGGTAGGACAACAATTTTTAAGCTCAATTTAATTCCTGGATAAACTTCCCCGATTCTCACTTCCCTCAAATACCAGCCCCATTTAATTCAACTGTCAGGCTGAATCTGTTAAAAAAAGGCTGAAAAGCTTAACTGGGGAAGTAAATGTATAAACTACATTAGTACACTGCTATTTGCAGGCCTGGAAGGTACTGAGAAATGAAAAAGGGGTTCATTCCTCAGCAGCTTATCCAAACGTAATTAGAAAGGTGGGTTTCGTTCATAAAACCACTAGATTTTAAGGGAAAGTTATGTAAAGAGGCTAGTTGTCCAAACATGAAAGACAAAGAACGAATGATCAAAGATTGAAGGTTCCTCTTCAAATCAAATACTGTTGCGTTTTTAACTTTTCCCGGATTTGGTGAAACAGGTTTCCTTGTATAACAATCCCAGTAGCTAAATGTGAACAAAACAACCGGAAAGTAAGGGCGGGTCGACAATTTGATTCAGCTGAATCAACTAATGTGAACATCCGGCCTTAATGGAAATCAGCTCAATTAACAGCCTCATGTAAAGTGAAGAAAGGGATAAGGGATCAAATATTCTACCTTGCCTTGAAACTGTAACTAAATTCCTGTTTGATGTTTGAACAACAATTTTTTTCTTACAAAAGAATTGACAGAAACAAAAGAATCAAAAAAGAGAAAGAAACAAGAACAGAAAAAGGAAAAAAAAAAGTGAAAAACCTTACATATACTGAAGAGTATCACCATTTTCAAGTTTGCCTATGTCCAAATTCTTCTGTCCATGTAAACACAAATTCTTCACGTATTGGGTGGAGCTGGAACCGGAGTCTAGCGGGTTTAAGAGGATCAAAAGCACTCTCAGCCCTCATCACATCTCCCATAAAAGTTCATTTGCAGTGATACTCAGATTTGCTGTGTCCACCCGCGTCAGGCTGTATTTTATATCATCCACATTTTACTACAAGGTCCCTAATCTGTCCTTTACTGAACCTGCTCACCAATCAAGTCTAAACCGACTAGAAGGAAGGATATCCCTTGAAATAGCAAGAAATAGAAATGTATTCCCTGTGCAGATAGGAGGCTCCTAGCTGAAGCGGTTAGAAGAAGGAATGCCAAGGCTAGCTCCTTCGTATATATCCTATTATGCTTCTTTTTCCTAGCCTTTTGTTCTTGCTGAATATCTGCTTTCATTTCATCTAGGTTGGTTTCTGATCCTCCACGCTGATGTTTTGGCTCCTTCTCAACCAAGGAGACAAGATCACCCTCAGATGATCGACCGGATTTTTTTGTAACAACCCATTCATATGCACTACCAAGTTGGAAAAGACCTGAGATCATGGCGTTGAACTTGGTCACTGACATGGTATTCTCAAAAAGAAGGTAAGGAACAATGAAGGGGAAGGATTTTGGAGCAGGAAGGATGTTGAGGAATGACATTGTAGCAGGGATGTAACAGACAACCCATGCTGGCAGCTCAGCCTCAGGAACAAACATGGTCATGGGGAGAATTATGCAGAAAAGAGTGAACGAATAAAAAGGTAGGATCAGTTTTCTAAGCAGAAAGAATAGAAAGATCATATTGAATTTCTTCCACACGCTAATCTGCATCAATCCAAATACAGAACAAGAACAACGTTAGGAATCAGATTAATCAAGAATTATTTAATTCAACAGAATAGGACAATTGCTGGTTCAAGAAAAGAGCACTCTGAAAGGTATTTACCTTAGCACGGATAATATCTGGCAAACAGAGGCGGAACAACTGCATGGGTCCTGAGTGCCATCTGTGCTGTTGTTTTCTATAAGCTTCATAAGATTCAGGAAGTTCACACTGACACTGAACAGAAAATAAAAAACCAACAAACATCAACTACCAATAAAGTGATTGACTGTTAAATTCACTAGCAATAAAATAGACAGATTAAACTAGAGCCATACCTCAACATCATTGAGGAAAATGAACTTCCATCCTTGAAGATGAGCACGAACAGCAATATCCATGTCTTCAACGGTTGTCCTCTCCAACCACCCTCCAGCATCCTCCAAAGCCTTAATCCTCCAAACCCCAGCAGTCCCATTAAACCCAAAGAAATTAATGAAAACACCATTCACTTGTTGCTCTACCTCAAAGTGAAACGACAAATTTATGTTTTGCAGTCTTGTTAGCAAATTCTCATCCTTATTAACAAAGGACCACCTCGCCTGAACCAACCCTAAATCTTCATTATCCTGTAAACATATAACCAAAATAGAATTTCACTTCAACTAATCCTGGACGTACTAAATTGGACACAACTCAAAACAGAAGCAGTTACCTTAAAATGGGGGACGGTTCGTTTGAGAAACTCAGGGGTGGGCTGGAAATCGGCATCAAAAATGGCAACAAATTCATAGTCTTTAACATAACTACAACTCATTGCAGACTTAAGATTACCAGCTTTGTAACCATCTCTAATTACACGGTGCCGATACACAATGTGGGCACCTTCTTGTTGCCACTTCTGCACCTCCTCTTTAATAAGCAGCTGAGTCGTGGGATCATCAGAATCGTCCAAAACTTGAATCAAAATTTTCGATTTTGGCCAGTCCAAATTACACACTGCAGCTATGGATTGTTGGTAAACCTGCAACAAAGAATTAAAAAAATTAAATGATATTCTTCAGAAATGGGTTTCCTTAAAAATGATAAAAAAAATATATTTTTTTCTTATTTGTTTTACCTCTTTTTCGTTACACATAGGGATCTGAACGAGAACCATTGGGAGGAAACCGTCTTCTCCAGATTCAAGATCCGCAACAGCGTCTTGTTTGGGAATTGGCTTGATTTTTTTGAAACGGATCCAAAAACAACCCAAACATAGGACTAACCTATCCATGCTTTGGATAAGGAAAAGAATAATGCAGACATTTGCGAGGAACTGAAGAGGAGGAGCGAGATACTCCACACGAATCAAAACCCAACGAGAGTATAACGAATCAAACAAATCTCTAACACCAAACGGCGCTGTAAAAATGTACTGTAACTGAAGCTTTGGAGCACCGAAATGCCAGCCTTTAAAATACGCGGCAAACTCGAAACCGAGTAACAATAATGACAACCAAAGGAACACTTTGATGCAGTTATAGAACCTGGTTTTAACGGTTTTGTTTTCTTTGGAGGATGTGTTGTCGGTTTCCGTGTCCTGGTCGTTGTCGGCGTCGGTTCGACCAGAGGCTACTCGGCGACGGATGGCTGAACCGAGATTGACCAATGTGGAGGCAATGGAGGTTAAGCAACCAGCAGCTCGGTGGGCTTTCAAGAGGAGGACCCACGTGAGTTGTTTGGCGTTTTTGCCACGCGCCTTTTCTCGCTGACCGGTCGGGGTGTTGCCCATGAGGAAATCGTCCTCCGATGGACCTTCGAGCTCGACCATTGACCAGTTCGGGTTTTCCATTTTGACTACCACCGGGGTTCCCTTATGGCTCCCTTTTGCCCACCAATCAAAGGACGGCGCCATTGTTGGGTTTTTCTTATCCTTGAAACTTGGCTGTTAGGTTCGATCTTGAGGGTTAAAAAAAAAACCTGAAAATGTGGGAGAGGAAAAGGCTAAAAACTTGACAACATTATCAGATGGTGAAGAAAGGGAACAAAGGGAAGGGGAGACGCAGACGCGTTGATTTTGCTAAAAGCAAAGAAGCGAGGGCGTCTCTCTTTAAAACATAGAGAACCAAAAGGAGCCAAACTTATACGAAGAAAAGCAGCTCTGGGTTTTGGAGAGGAGCTGATAAAGAAACAAAGAAAGACTGAGCTTCTCAGTTCTGAGCTGTTGAGGGGGGAAAAATAAATTAAAGAAGCTCCAAAAAAGCTCCTCTCATTCAATTACAGCTTGCAAAAGGGGTGGCTTTAAAAAAACACAAAAATATGACTATGAGAGAAAGAGAGAAAGGGATAGACAGAATTGGGAAAAAGATGGTAACAGCTCAACACGTCTTTGATTTTGATTTTGATTTTCTGAAGAAAATAAATTTTTTTTAAAAAATGATTGCAGAAAATAAAAAATCGAAATGCATACACATTACATATTCACATTTCACACTTTTAAGACACAAAAGACGACAACACGCTGTCTGTCCCTGTCAACATCAAAAGGGCAAAACCAAAAAACCACACAGGATTTTCATAATCTTTGTGTTCTTTTTCCTTCTTTTTTTTTTTTTTACCATAAACAAATAAAAAACTTAACGCCTCAAATAAAAGATTTTTACACCCGGATAGAGAGACGGCAATTAAGGAATCGCTTTTGTTCCTTACAAAGAAAATCTCAGAAACAAAGACCTTCGGGGTTCCGACAATGGAAAGATTTTCATTTTACACCTACTGCTTTTAAATTGCAATAAATCCAGCAACGACCTACAGCAAACATGAGCCCTAACCCTAGAAACAGTAAAATCCTCTGATGATTTTACAGTGCCGTAAAAAAGAAGAGATCAAGCTCCGATCGTCTTTCCTTCATGTTTATTTTCGCGTGTGATTAAAACAACCAAAAAAAAAAAGAAAAAAAATCAAAGAGTAAATGATCACACGCGAAAATGTAGGCCAAGCTCCAGAAAGTTCAAAGCGATATGTGTTAAAAAGCCAAGAATTGAAAATGGTTTCATCCTTTTAAATTTATTTTTTATTTTTAAAATTTTAATTTTATTCAATTAATTAATTGAGAGGAGGAGAGTAGGGCAGAGAGGGTAGTGAGCATTAATTAATCCATTGGCCGTCCCATTTTATTGAGGTTAATAAGGATAGGATAGAAAACCACCTCCCCTATTTTTACTAGTTAAGGGTTAAAAGCCCTTAATTGGAATTTGGAACTTTTGGTTTTTGTTTGGCATAGTTTGCACATCTCACGCTCCATTTGGGAGCGTCATTTACATCGGTGATGTTAAACAGCTCAAACCAGTTAACCATAATTAATAATGAAATATAATATATATTTTCTTTATTAAAAGATCACTTCAAACAATAGCGGAAAAAAGGAAAAGGATCAACTGAAATTCACTGAAACAGCTGTGGGATTTAATTGAATATTTGTGATAGTTGGTAAAAGAGATAATTAAGGAATCTCAAATATTTTTAGTAATATATTTATTTTGACTTTTAAATGAAATTCAGTGGGTTTTATTGGCCTCATGACTTTTAGCCTCCCAATCAATTTGATTTTGGAATTATTATAAATTTTTGGGATTCCATTCGTAATTTACGCAAAACCTTAATTTTGTCTATTTTTATACTACTATTAGCTTGAAGCAAAAGGGTAAATCAGGGGCCATTAATGCAGTCTCCCTTATAACAATCACAATTAAATGTTTTTATCAATAAATAATAATATAAAATAATATATTTATATTTTATTTATTGATATATGTGTAAATCGTCTATTTAAAACGTCTTAATTAAGAAGGACATCAGATAGTAAATAGTCTAAAATAACCTCGGACGTTTTATAAGCCACCGACAACCTTTTACGTCAAAGAGCGTGAAACTCACGAAGGATTGTTTTGGAAAATCAGTCGGACGAACAGACAGGACAGCAGTAATTAATGAATACCACGGTGTTACGGTGGTACTTCAGAAGATCAATGCCGTGATCTAAAACACTTTTTTGTCCGAATCAGTGATCCAAAATCCTTGCTTTGCATAAGCATTTAATTCTCCACACTGTTCAGTTGCACTGGAAATTAACTCCTTTGTCCAAAAAGATATTTGAAATTTTAATTTGGTCACGTGAGACATGATAAACTGAGAAACATTAACATTTCAAAAATACTAAAATTTAAATTATACAAAAAAAAAACTCTGCTGTCTAGCCTGAACTATGAACAAAGGATAAGGGGTAAAATCGGTAATTTGATGTCAATATTCGAGGTTCGAGGGGAATTTTGGAATAATTCTATTTGGTTGCATTCCTAGGAGGGAGTCCAATGGGCCGTTGATCTCGCGACTCGTGTGGGAAGGAGCTGGATGAGAGAACCACACCTGAGAGAGAGAGAGATAGATATTGGGGAATTGGAAATAGGAGGAGAGAAAGACATGTGGCAACTGACTGTGACAGAACACAGGCTGGCCACCACGACCGGCAGCTTCCTGTCGTGCCCTCAGCTACAGTCGCGCAATCGTCGCTTGCCTGCCACCTCGCTCTTCTAATTTTTCAGTCCTTTAGAAAGCAATTAAAAATGAAATTAAACTCAAATTTTTTATATTCATCATCGTCAACGTTGAATTTTGTTATAGGATTTCAATTTCATTTAATTTCAACACATTACTTTCAATTCTTGATAATTTCTTAATATAAAGTAATGAAATAAATTAAATTGAGAGGAAGGATAAAAATATTATTAGTTAAATGGCACAAAATTAATGTAGACATAATATACAAAAAACTCTTTACATTATTCAAAAAATTTAAATAAATTTTTATATTTTTATTAGGTTCAATCAAACCATTATATTTTTATTTTGTTTTAAATAAATCTTTATACTTTTTATTTTACGTAAAATAAGTTTTCATGACTAATAATTTAATTAAAATATTATTTATTATTTTATATCACGTGACGTTAATATGACATACTAAAATATCATAATTGATTATAATGTAACATTTTGATATTTCATAATTGATAATGACATGATATGTTAATTTAGTATGAGAACATTGTCATGTAACATTTTTTATCCTCCACATTAATGTTATATTAGTGTCATATGAATATAAAATGATAAGTAATACTTTTACTAATGACCACTAGCTAATTATTGGTTATAAAAGCTTATTTGTAGGGGCTTAGTTAGTTAATTTTTATTAAGGGGACCAAAGGTTAAAAAGAATAAAAGTTAAAAATTTTTAAAACTAATATATTGAACTTAACCATTAATAATCAAAATATTTATAATAAACAATAATTTTATATAACATGTAAACGAAAAGAAATAAAAAGAAAAAAATTTATAATGGTGCTATAGGAAAGTTTTGTTCAACGATGGTAATATATTTTTTAATATAAACAACTAAATTATTTGTAAAAAACTTATCATCCATTTTGTTTCAAAATCTTATCTTTTTTAATATTAATGTAGTCAACATTTAATATTTTTATTTTATAATATTTAAGTTTATAATACTAAATATTAAACTATAATGCATAAAATATAAATAGTTAAATACGATACACAGAATTAATAATTTTTTCTTATACTCAGTATAATTTTCTTTCAACTAAATATAAAATGTAAAGTACATTAAAAACATATACTCAAGATAATTTTTTCTTATACAATAAGGATTAATAAAAAATAATATATTAGTAAAATTTTAAATAGCAACCAATAATGCAACACAAAAACTTATATTTGAAAATTACATATACAATAATTTTTTAATTTTTAAAAGTTAAAATCATTAAAAATAAAATTCACATAACAAATAAAAAATCATGGCAAGTACGAGATATAACCCATATAACAAAAAAAAAAGAATATGGTTGATGATTCGTAAAAATTAAAAAAAAAATCTATGAAAATTTAAAATATATGAGTAAATAAAATATAATTGAAAAAATAAATAATAATAATAAAAATAAAAATTTACATAAAAACTTTACCTCTTTATAATTTCACAATACAAAGACATAAAAGAAAAGAGAAAAAGATAGGTGGAGAAACTTAAAAAATAAAAAAAAATTAAGAATTTGAGTAAACTTAAATGAAATTTGTAAAGTACTTTTATTATTTTTAATTATATTAATTATTTAATAAAAATTTATTTTAAAATATATAATATATGAAAAATTTTAAAAATTTTGAGAGACTATTACAAACGGATGCTCGGTCTCTTCTTATTTGACTTAAAATAAAAATGTAAATGCTCGATTAAATATAATAAAAAAATAAAAACTTATTTAGATATTTTTAAATAATTTATGAATTTATTTAAACATTATGTCATTTAATGTATAAACCTCACTCTTCCTTGTTTGTCTAGCTGGGTTGTAAAGTTGTCTTAACAGTTTGTAGCTGTATTGCTTGTACTGAGTTTATTGACCTGTCCAGAGGAAGGGAAAAGCATAAAAGTTGGAGTTTATTGTTGTACATACATTTAGGTTCGAAATTGAATTTCATTTTTTTGGAATAGTAAAAGGGCATGACTTTATGTTAATGGCAACTAACTCTTATTGAAAGTTTCTCACATTTATTTCTCTTCACCACAATATACAAATGCTGTTTATTGTATTTAAAATTCAAATCTTTTTTATAAAGATCAATTATCACTATATGAATGTGCTACAAAACATAAGCCTTTTTCCCTATTATTAGATTACGACTTTTTCACCAGCCCTTCTCGTGTAATCAATCATTTTCATCTCGTTAAAATATGATCATCGTCATCGAAACTCTTAACAAGTTCCATATATGTTTAAAGGAAAATGGATATTTTTCTTTTTTTCTTTTTTTTTAGGATTAATGTGCTAATGAAGTCTAAAACCTTTTGATCATGACCAAAGAAAGAGAGTGAGAATGGGAAAAAAAGAAACATTAGTCAACAAATTTATTCTAAGAAAATTCGTGGCAGGTGCGCAAGTGGATTAATCTAGGGATAAAACCCAACATTCATGGGTGACAGCTCTCCGTATGATTGCTTTTGATTATTTCCCAATGAAACAAAGGGAATTATAGAAGTTTCTTGAGTAAGTAATATAAAATTAACATTAATATATACTAAAGATTATTACGTTTTTTTAGTAAAAAAAAATTGGAAAACATGTAGGCCCATATCATTTTTATCATAGAACCACAAGGTTAGGTGGAGAGTAAAGAGCATTGGTCATAAGCATAATTTATGTCCATAATACATAATAAATGCCTAAAATTAATGGATGGTTGATTGAATTCTATTAACCAAATCATGGGCACATGAATTTAAATTAGTTGATACAAAATATTTTTTTTTTCAAGTGACTTGAAAAAATGTACTAATGTTTTGTCCCATTACACATTGCCGACACTAAACTTTTTTGGAGAATCTTTAATCACTACTAATACTTGTGTGATCAAAAGATTTAGACCTAAACCACTTTCAAATTAAAATGGATTAGTCAAATCATTTAATAAAAATGTATAGACAGAGGGAGAGAGAGAGAGAGAGGGAGGGGAGGGTGACCCTACTTGAGAAAGGGACAAAGAAAGGCTAAGAATGGGGAGGTGTCCCAATGAATTGCGTCAAAATGTATGGAAAAGAGAGGAAGAAAAAGGAAGGATTGGGGGCGTCATGATGATTGTATTAAATCAAGGAAATGACGTGGGGGAATTTGTTCTTGTTCTTTGTTACAATGGTTATGAGCCATTGGGCCAACAATTTCATGAATACGTGCAAACTCCATATAGGTATTTGTGTGCTCCCCATGTTTTGCTCTTCTCCTCTTAACAGATTTTTGCTTCTTCTTTTGTCTCTCTTACGACTTTGGGTTCTTTTTTTTTTTTTTTTCTTTTGTTGTTGTTTGGGAGAGGTCTAACTACGAAACAAATACTATAATTAGTTTTGGGTACAAGTTTTTTTCAATTGGTTTGACTTGATTTTTATAATAAAACATAATTAATTTAGAGGTCTAACTAAGGAAAAAGAAAAAGGGTTTGCTTGCAGGAGCCTTGTATTCTAGAAGGAATATACCATTCTTCCATAGTGGCATGCTGAGGATTAGGGAATATTTACTTTGGGAATTGAATGCGGAATACCATATATTTTCCTGTGAATGTGAGAATACATAGCCAAACCAACTAAGTTTAGAACTACCCTCATATTCCCACACCATTTGCTTCTTCTTTAGTTGTTAGATTCCAGTTTCAATTCACCCTTCCTTCAAGCCATCCAAATTAGAAACAAACCCAAATTTTATGTTGTGGAGTGTATTTTAGTATCAAGAAAAGAGTGGTAGAGGAAGTAGGGGTTTACAAAGGAGAAGAAAAAGAGAAGGAAAGATGGCAAGCTGTGGTATCTTCTTTTATCTTACAAAGGGAATAAATAACCGAAATTCTACATTTTTTTTAAGAATACTATATGAACTTCAATCTGCCTTCTTTTTGGGGAATTAAATGGCTCAAATATATCTTTTTTTTTTAAGCTTAAATTATGTTCAATGTAGTACAATTGATTAACTCTCATGCATAATACAACTACTTTCCATGTTTCTTTAACACCATTGAAGCTATCATCCAGGTGATAATCAATAGTACTAACTTACTTTAGAGTATTAATTAAGCTGGCAATTTTACAATTTTGTGATTGATGTCGTGTGAGTAGTATTTATTTTCCATGTGTGGGATGTGGCTTTCACCCAAAAGGCAATTTTCTTACAACATCTTCTTGTTATGTTTTCACCTTTCAACTCTCTTACTCAAAAAAAAAAAAAAAAAGAGAGAAAAAAAACCTTTGAACTTGAAGGCCAGAGTCTTTGGTTGAAACGTCAGAATTGATGGCTCCATGTGGGTACTTGTGTTCCCCATCCAAAAAAATTACCATTCTTTAGGACATATAAGACAAACCCAGAGGCTTTGATTGTGTTGGTAATTAAAAAATAAAACCCACAAAACTTAAATTACGTTATAATAGTTAATTAATTTGAATGATACGTTAGCGTACAAAAATTGAATCCCTTAATTATTGTGGTAATCAACATGGAAGGACATATATAATAACCTTTGATGAACAATGGCAATCATTTTTTGACCCAACACCTAACAGCTTGGGGTTGGGGGAATATGTGCTCGTGCTTTCGTTTGAAATAGGGACAAAAAGAAAATTTAATTTTCTCATGTGAGGCCAAAGGGGAATTGTCGTGTCAAAACCATGAATCGTTCCAAGCAGGCAGTTTACCTTGACAAAGAATGGCGTGCACATGTTCAAGCCAGCTGAGCATCAGCAGAGAACCAGGACCCAGTGTGGAAAATGCGTTGGGGGAGAAGTGAAAATGACTTTCGTTTTTGCAATTATCACCCGGATTTATCAGTCATTTTCTCATTGATAGACCATATATCCCAGATTTACAACATATGAGAGAGCACCGTTAACTAATACCTTTTTCAGGACATGGAAGAAATCATATTATATGTTATCTAATCACTAGAGGGGGGGAGGGGCTACAACGCAATTTATCACGTGAGAATTTTTGACGAAGTAAGCAAATTGCCTCAGAGCTTAAATCAGTTTGCACCCACACCACTTTAATAAAGTCTAGGCTGCCAATTATTTTTGTATATTGTATGATTCTTAGATGACAGACCGAGTTTCCGTGACTCAAAACTCGTTCCTCCGAGTTACTGGTCCCTTATATGGTGACATTGATTGCCCTTTTAAACCCGCTTTAAAATTGCCCATAAAATTTCACCTTCACTAAATGGGCCTTAGAAGCCCAACTTATAAAATGCCAAGGGACCCCCATAGGCCATAAGTCCAGCATTAGCTACAAAGAGGGTTTTGTTTAGCAACGAGAATCAGAGTCTAAAATGTTTCACTAGCACTCCCACTTTCTAAAATAAATGAGGAGAGTGACTGGCAAAGACAGCAAAGAAGTCCCACAGAGCTATGTTATAAAGGGTCCAAAAATGTTGGACTCATCAAAGAGAAACACAAACCATATGACAGAAACAAGCAGGTATGATAACGAAACATAGGGGTTGGCATTTATCTGTCACAGACTATTTAACTAGGAGAAAAAGAAAAGAGATTATAAGCTGTCACTAGTACAACTTTTCAGTATGATGCTTTAAAATCCCATCCAAAAAACAAGCACTGTTACTGTTAAACTTGTTTTCAACTAGGTACTTTATCACCCTAGAATGTTTCATGCCATAAGAATGAACAAATTAGGCACTACATGTTATAAGAAGACACCAAAAATGAGTTATTTAAGTACACTACAATTTTATTTTGAGTATTCCGAAATATTCAGAATTCTCCGATCTGTGTACTCTCTCAAAGAATCAAGATCTAAAAGCTACATCACCTGCACACTTTTACAAAAAAGTTGTCCAAACCTCGTGAGAAGCTGGAACATCCATCTTTCCACCGCTTATTGCTCATATGTTGATAAAGATAACAGACTCCCTATTCATCATGTCAGCTTTGAGGATAAACTGCATGAAAGAAACCCAGATGTTCCCTTGCCAATTGCCTTTAGTTTCCAACCACGTTAATACACCTAGAAAACCAGATATGGACCCTCCCTTAAAATCAGGTTATAACTCCTTCATCAACACTAAAAAAGCTGTAAATGTCACTAGTCACAGCCACTGTGCTTGTTGAGACCGCAAGAAAGATCATAATCCATGATATTAGTCTATCATTCTTTGTTGCAATTCCATGGGTGTCCCTGCACAAGTGCACATCAGAACTATTCATTATTTAATTACTACATAGCGAAGAAGGTTTAGAGCAATAAGGTTATTCAGTTGATAAAACCCAAATTTATTAATTGTCAAACTCCTATCTTTTCTTGAAACATTTTCCAATTTCATTTATACTATCAACTCTATCAATGCCTTTCCTTAACAAGGTCTAATTAGGGCCATATGTAATAGGTCAGCTCCTTTGCACAGCCCTAAACCGTGATCTACAAGTGAGTTAGCTAATTCTTTAACAGTAGTTTTCATGTACAATATAATGTTGCATGTACTATTCTTTTGATAGTGAGTAGCTCTATTATAAACATAGAGTCCTCTACCATCCAGCATAATGTTGCATGCAAAATTCTTTCGACAATAAATTCAACAAAACTGCACAGATAACTGTTACTTACTTGAGGGTGATAGCAGCTGGAAAGATATAACCAACACAAACCGCAGCAGTTGCACCAGTGAACTGGAAGGCATCCCAGATACTAGGAACAAAGTTGGCTCCCATAAAGATAAAACCCATAAGAGCTACTGTTACTGAGAAGAACCTCCGGTTGTCAAAAGCAAAAGGAACAGCATATGGAAACAAAAGACCATCTACATTGAGACGAAGGGAGAAAAACACAATCGGGAAAACAAGCATCAGGTGAAGGCCATAGCTCACCCTGATTATATCATCGAGCAATGAGCTATATGGAATTCCAAGATCACCATCAAAATTAGCAAGCACATCATCCAAAGTATGATCCCCAAAAAGTAGGACTCCAAAGAAGCTAGTAGCAATGTAGACAGATGAGCATAATGTGAGGGACTTTCGAACTATTGACTTCATCTGGGTAGGGTCTTTCAGTTCATTCTCTATTGGGAGTACTGCAAGGAGTATTCAAGAGAGAAAACGGTTAATCAATTGTCATAAAAGCAAGCAATCATACATCACACATTTAACAATCTTTGTTATGTAAAGACTGACGGGTCTTCGGGCTAGTTGGAAATTGAAATATCAATTTCAAAACAAATGAATGTGCTAATTGGAATGCACACAGATAGAAGTAAAAGAACTAATTTGTAAACAGAATCTCTCTTGGTCTGATAAACAAACAATTTTGATACAGAACACAACATATGATAGCTCAATAATATTCTTAATAATACCGCACAATATTTGTCCTTCTATGTATTGTCGAACCATAACAGGTCAACATGGTCTTTTGCCGAGTTCTATGTGTTTAGCATAGTTAGCTTCTCTTCTCTTCCCCTTAAAGCACTCAACCAACTGACCAAGTGACAAATAAATCAATTTCATGCAGATTGGATGCAAAATTAACTTGAAGCAACAACTAATCAGAACCAAATTATGATAGTAAACTAATAGGAATAGGATTGGAAGTACTAAACACGATAGAAACAATCATCTGTCATGACTTACTGTTATGGTGGCATATATAAGCAGTAACTAAAACAGGAACAGTGGTGAAAAGCTTCCAAAACGACGCCTGATTAACAAGTTTTGGCATTAGACGAGGCATTCCAATTTTCCCTTCCATCAACTTAACAATTGCAACTCCTGCTGTTATTGCCACAAACACAACCGCCAAACCAACTGACAACGCCGACGTGTATCTCAATGAATCTAAAATCAACCAAAACCACCAAAAAGGAAAGGTTTATGCTTTAACTATTTTAATAACAATTTAGAATCTTGACAAGTTGGTTACCAACGCGCTTGAAAGAAATAAGAGGAGCAAAAACGAAAACTGTGGTGAACAAGAGCAAAGCCGAACGCGTGGTCCACCAATTTTCACCGAACCATTCTTCCATCACTCCCCTGTGGTGGACCCCATCCGCCCATGTTCCGGACAACACATCACCTGCCAACAATTCAAACTCAGTCCGGATCAAACCGGCTATTAATAGTTCCACGAGGAGTAGTTTTGGCTCTTAAGTTACCTATGATGATCATGTAGACGACAAGCATGCCCAAGTTGTTGATGACGATGCAGGCTTGAAGGAGGGTTCGGCCGGGTCCACCGAAAGCGTCGGCGGCGACGCCTGCATACGTGGCGCTCTTGGAGGCTCGGCTGAATTTGAGAATCATATCGATGGATGATTCCGTTAACATAGAGACGAAAATGATCGTGATTAGACCAGGGATTAGGCCCAGTTGATTGACGGTGGCTGGGAGAGCCATGATTCCGGCTCCGACGACGGTGGTAGAGAGGTTGAATACGGCTCCTGAAATCGACGCGCCATCGAAGCCGGACTCGTGAGCCTCGAATAATTGGTTCCCGTGCTTTTGAGGGAGGAGGGGGGTTCGGGGACTCCGTCGGTATTTACGATCTGATGAGGGCAAGACCGTCATTTTATTACGTGGGTGGTTAAAACCGTTGCAGGGGGCGAGGCCGCGCAGGAAGAGACTCGAAGACGAGAGGAAGTCTTCTTTAGTCCGTGCACAATGTATGGACGTGCGGGAGGTCTTCACGCGGGAGCTGACGTCGCAAATTGCGCGTTGACACGTGCAAATGCCGTCAAATTTTAGGAGAAAAACTTCACCCTGAGGTGCTTGGCTTTAAAGATCGCGTCCGTCGGGCGGCCTTTTTTTTCGTTTCGTTTAGATTATAAAGGCCAATGAGGAACTGCTCAAGTGACAATGTGGTTACGGGAAGTATAAGGAAAGCAAATGGCGACTAGACATCAACCGTTCGACAAGGTCATTTCCTAATAAAGCCCCTCTCTTTTTTCAGTTTTGTTTTGTTGCGTGAAATAAAAATTCCAATGTGTACGTTTTACTATTTGAGAGCGTCTCAGCTTTTAATTTGCAACGGCTAGGCTATCCACGAAGGAGATATAGCAAACAGACCGTTGCCTTTCAGTCAAACCTGGTCTGTCTTTGGGGTAAAACAAGCCTAAACGTGAGACCCACATTGAGGTGATCCTGGGCATGTTTCTCTTCAATTAGTTGCCTTTGTACATGCCCATGACAGACTCTGGGTTCATCTCCCAGCCAGGCTTTTACCGGTCAAGGCCCAAACAACGTACACCTTGCACAAATTTGGTTGCCATGTAGCTGATGAAATTAAAAATGAAGGTTGAAGGCTCTAGCTAGCAAGCAATTGCAGGCTTATTTTACTCCCGCAACTAAAAATACCGTATGCACATTTTACACTTTGACCTTATGATGCTTGAAAAATGTGAGAATGAGACGGCTAACTCTATACCTCTTATCGTAAAACAGGATTTTGATGCTCATGTTACATCAGTGACCGAACCTGAGGCCCAGCCGAGCGGTGGCTTACCCGTCACCAAAGTAGGGGGTGGAAAAGGACTGGAATCACCTCCTCATAAGTTAAAGATGTACCAAGCCCTTCATCATAATATTCTCCATCACCTTTGCACTAGGTCGCACGATAGTATGTTCGTAGTATCTTACCTAAGATTAATGGGTTAGTCATACACTCGTTCAAGAAATGAATTAGTGAGAAGAGTCAAATCCAATGCAAGGTCTTTATGCAGCCATAACCCATAAACTTTGGCTCCATTTGATGTATGTATGCCAGATACATGACCAAGGCACCAATGTCACATTCATGAAGTGTTAGCAAAAGCAATAGAATATTTCTGCTGACATGGAATTATTGCTAAGGGTAATTATTGCTAAAGGTAATATATAAATTTGCAAAAGCAGCTTTATAGTCGGTATGACCTCTTTTATCAGCACAGTAATTACATGGGGAGGGGAAAGCATGAAGGAAACAAGACTAAAAATGGGACAAGTTAGAACTTACAAAAGGAATCCGTCATACAGTGCATCACTCAATCAATGTCTTCTCTTTCTTTTGTTGCTTCCCTTCATCTTGTTGTCCAGAACAGCGTGTGAAGATTGCAACTTTATCCCTACAGCTGAACTCCACAGAGCCCTCTCCACATCTGATGGCGTGAAGGAGTCCCCTTTTGAACTTAATTCCTGCATGACATATAGGGGGTACTTTGACCACTTGTAACCTTCATTATGCTAAGATGATGTCAATGTGCACGAGTGTTCAGGAATAGATTTTGAAATATACAGTATAACTGCATTGAATACATATGATAACTAATTATTTGGGAGGTAGAAGATCAGAGTATAGTTGATGCCTACACATTGATCATTCTTGCAGAAAGGTATTCTTGGACTTAAAATCTGATGACCATCAGGCACATAAGAAAAACTGCCTTCACATTATCTAATACCTATTCTCCATGACAACATACATTACATTGTGAGAAATTATTCTTTTTCCATAAATAGAGCCAACACATGAGCCAAAAAGTGGCACTAATTAAGCACAACAACAAAAAGGTTGTAACTTATCAAAACATCAGGATCTATCAATTTTATAGCTGGTATGCTAATAATTTTTGTTCATAATCAGCATTGACCAAAGTCCAGTGTCTTCTATTTTGGGACAGAAAAGACTTAAAAAATACTTGATCAGATATCCAATGGGGCAAAGATTTCAATGAATATTGCCAACTGAAGAATATTAGAGTTGCCTAACTCCTTGAGGTATATGATTCTGTTGCCCAGTCAAAAACATAATTAGCCAAGAATAAACACAAACAAGTTAAACCAGTGAACAAAGGACATCATCTACCAACAGCATTAAACATTCAAAAGAAACAAACATATCACCACTATCATTAGAAAGCTACAAATTTAACAAGTATAAGATGAAGCTCCTGAACGGTACAAAATGATCCTAGATCAGCCATTAACATCAGAAAAAAGGACTAAAAGATATTAAAAGAAAGAAAGAAAAATCCCTCGTGGTCCCAAACTAAGTTTTAGACTTGTAGTTCTTGTCAAGTAATTTTCCTTTGAAAACACCTTTTTTCAGGGTATCCATGCACAGTGGTGCTCAATCAAAATAAGCTATATAAAATAGAAATGAACTTCACATCATGAAAATGAAAGAAATTTAGCCAAAGGAAAATAATACATGCTAATATATGCAAAACATAATCAGAAGATAGCCAGTCATCACTCCACATTCTTTAAATTGTACTAAACAGCTCATAGACAAGGGCGGAGACAAACTTCCAATGCAACTTTGGGGACCATGAAACGAAAACATAGAAATATTCATTCAGTGCTTTTTCTTGACAAGTAATTCTTTGCATGAAAACAGCATTTCTAGGGGACCATCTATAGCAGTCCTCAATCAAGAAACTAAGTTAATATTACAAAAAGAAATAAATTGCACATCAAATGCACCAAAATGCGACAGATATGCTCACCATTATCAAATAATTGAGTGATTATACTGCTGCGATCTCTTCATGGAACTAAAATAGATTTCTGATAAGAGCAGAGATCAACATCTTACCGTGCAAAGATATATAGTTTTAAGGCCAATCAATACTATCAACAATAATCCATTAATTAGAAGAATTGCTTATTGAACTATCATTGTACTAACTTGAAAATGACTGGCATATTTTAGTTACACAATCTTTAATATAGTAATTAACAGCTATAATCATCAAAAATAAATAAATGTACAGACCATGCACTAAAAAATAAAAATCTAATAAAACTAAAAGGAATCTCACCAACCTTAGATTTGCTCTGTATTTTATCCACAAATAACAAATACTGCTTTAACGAATAATCTTTTGAGTTTCCAAGAGCAGCCTCCATAGCCTGGGACACAAATAAAAATAAAAAAAATAACCAAAAATAAACAATAAAGCAAACTAATCCAGGGAAAAAATAAAGATTCGAGAAGAATTTACCTCGTCGGACATAAACGGCGCCGTTTCAGGAGCGTAAGCAGCGAGAACAGCCGAGGCAGTAGCGGGGCCCACTCCTTTCAAAACAGTAAGCTCGGAGACGGCTTTGGAGATGTCGGGAAGCGATTGGAAAGCCTTCTGCGAAGCAGATTTTACTAAAGAGTCGTCCAAAGAGGAAACGAAATCTAACAAACGCGGCCTCCATTTGCCGCGAGTGAGCTTCCATTTCATGAGGCGGGAGAGTTCGGAGGTTGTTATGAATGCGTTAGGGTTTCGTTGGTGGAGACGAGGGGGGAGTTCGTTGCGGTAAAATTCGTCGAGAGAAACTAGGTTCTGCTTGTCTAGAGATTCGATTCGAGATTTGTAAGAGGAGATAGCTTCTTTCCAGATGCTCAAATCTGTGCACTCAAAATGAAGCTCCATTTGAATTTCTTGTTTGGCCGGAAACAGTCCCGAGGTTTAGGCAGTTTTCCGTCTTGTTCCCGCTATTGGGATTTTTAATTTAAATTTTTATTTTTATAAATCATTTAACTGGGCCATTTGGGCCCAAAAGATGCCTTCGGGTAATGATTTGAACACTTCAGGTTTCATTTGGATTATTCTTATATATTTAATTAAATTATACAATTAGTTCTTATATTATTATAAAGTGATAGATTTAGTATTTATACAAAAATTTAAAAAATTGAGTTCTTATGTTTTCTAAACTTGATAATATTAGTCTAATTATTAATAATGTTAAAATTTTTTCTGTCATTTATGATGACATAGTATTTTTTTACTGATGTAGAATTAAATATGATAATGTGTTAAAAATGATAGAATATTTTTAATTTATTTCACAACTTTTTTTCATTGCTTTAAATTATAAATTACAAAATTTTAATTTTTTTTTTCATCTCAGATCACTCTTTTCCTAAATCGTACTTTTGATTTGTTTATTTTTCAATCCCATTTAAAACCATTAGTTTACATTAAATAATTTCACATTTATAATTATAATCCATATCAGTGTTTAGTTACTTCATATGGCATTATTGTTGTATCATTCTTAAAATGTTACATCATCATTATTATTCAATGTCATATAAGTAAAAAAAAATTCACATCAATATAGTTAAATTCCATATCAACATGGATAATAAAATTTTTTTAACATATGGTATTGACATTATCAATTTTAAAAAGTACATTATATTGTAAAGACTAATTACATAATTTAACTTATTTATTTAAAAATAAAAAAATCTTGATTCGTACAAAGCTATGTGCAATAAGTTGTTTTAATTGAATCATCTTAATAATAATAATTTTTTTGTTGAAAGTTGTTTTTAATTTTAAAAGTAATATTTGTTAGAATTAATGCCGAATATGCGTGATCTTATGAAATTAGGTACAAAACAACTCATTTCGATTGAATAATTTATCTATCTCAATTTTTTTGTTTTAAAAAAATAGAATAAGCAAAAACTGTTTAACATTAAGAACCTTTATAAGTTAGAAAGTTAGGCTGTTGTTAAAGCTATTTTTGGTTAGAAAGTTAGGTTGTTGTTAAAGCTGTATCTTATTCATACAATAACCAGACAAGCAGCTCAGAGAGAAAAGAAAAGGCTGGGTCTCTTATTGTTTAGTGGACCTCAATAATTAAATTATGAATCAAGAGAACATTCAGGGGGAAATACATATATGAATTTGTATTTTACGAAAACTGTCAATTAAGTTGCCTACCTTTTAATGAATGTGTTTACCAATCAATGTACCGTTCCTACTCAACAATAAAGGACTTGACGTGCTGTCCGTCGCTTGAAAACTTTACCTCATTTTACTGGTTTTCTTTGCTGTTAAAGTTAACAATCAGCTTTCTACTTTCTATGTAGACTTTCAGTGAAGGACGCAACACTTTCCTCTTCACTTTCTGATATGATTACTTGGGAGATGTTAGTTGTAAATCCATGAAGGGAGAAACCAAGAAATCTTTTTGGTCTCCTTAAACAGTATAGGGTGGACTCTAAAAGGCAAGCATGTGTGGCATGCCGGCATGTGAATACGATGACACTCTCAAAAATGTTGGTGGGTGTACAGTCGCGAAATGGCTTGTTAATTTTCATGGCTTAAATTCCCCAGTCAATCTTCTACGTTGGCGTGTGCCAGAATGATCCCTCTATTGACTCAAACATTGGATAATTTAGTACTCCACTCTTCATTTGACTTGATCTCCCACAACTTACAAACACTAGGCTGCTGCTGCAATTTTAATTGTTTGATGCATGCTTGACTTAGTTCACAAACGACTGAGTGGAATTTTTCTGCCAAAAAACGAGGTTGGTTTAGTCGTACTAAAGCCATTGTTGCGTACCTACCAAAGCCATTATTTTATATTTTGCGGGGAAGTCAGATTTTCCAGTCTTCTGACGTCCGCCATCCTTTCTTCTTTTAATGGAAAGCTCCCACGAAATTGCTGTGTTATTTTGGCAGGAAAGAAAACAAAAAGAGAGAAGATAACTCTCTCTCTCTCTCT